TTTGGAACGACTTTGGTCATTCCCTGGCCCGTGGTTTCTCTTCCTCTTTCTCGCACTGCCCTAATTCACAAGAATTGAAAGTCTCAGAAAAAGTACATCGGCAAGCTGTTAAAGTCGAACGGATTCAAAACTCACTTAGCGGTGAAGCGGTTTTTGGTGTTTATAATCGCGCGACTGAGAAGGGACCCTTTTCCTTTCCTTCAAGAACAGCACCTTTAAAAAGAAATGAGGGTATATTGCGAAGACCTGTAAAATTATGAACTCAGGTCACGGGACATTCTTCTTACTTTGTTCATTTCTCCAATTGAGCCAAACCTCCATGCTTTTCGTGTACTCAAAATTCTTACTACGTGGGCTGCTTCAGAATCGCTGTCTCGTTATTTCCCATACTCATGAAGGATCTGTCGTGGAAGTGAACATTCAAAAAGAACTCGAGCAGATGCTCAGGGACAAATTTCGCCATAGAGCTCATCGATGAACTTTGTTCCTTTATACCACCGATTGATTGGGGAGCTCCTTATATCGTTTATTCTTAATGAACATTTTAACTTTCCATTCATTACAATTGGCCATCACATTTTATCTTATATTTGTCGTTCGATGACTATTCAGTGTTTTTCCGCGCATGTGTCTATAGTAAAAAGACCTAATAATATGAGATCTCGCTGTATATTCTGAGTTGCCTCACCCTGATCTGGTCGAATGCGATTTCCATTCATACTGGATGAGTATTGGATGGGTTAGTTGGTATCTGTGCTAGACATATAACTTTTATTAGTCAGCATGATGCTTTGCTTCGATGAAAATGAGTCTGATCATCGTGCTGCCACCATAATGGAAATATTCTGATATCCTTTCTGAGCTTCCTAACCCATGTGTTGCTTCGCCTTTGCTAATAACTCAACCATCCTTTTTGAAGTTCGTGAAGGACTCGACGTGGTGGAAAATATTAAGAAAGATTTCGAACACACTCTCGAGGTGAAAGTTCGCCACCGAGTTCATCGATCGACTTTGCTCCGTCGTACCATCGATTGATGAGCTCCTTGACTTTCAGCTCCGATAAACATTTTATTTCTCGGCTCATTCATTTATTTAATGAAGGGGATTATATGAAAAGTTAAGGACCATCATTTTTCATATACTCTCTTTCCTTGCGTTTGAAGTATATGACGAGTTCTCTGCAAGAACTCTTTATTTCGGTCTTAGTTAGCGTAGCTATCGCTTGATTGCCTTCGGAAAACTCTTTTCTCACTACATTCCATTTTAACTTCGCTTTGTTTCCAGTCTGCGAGCGACGCATACACTGGAACCTGTTGCTTGCCCAGCGCTAAGAGAAGTTGTGAGATGGCATCATGGACTCTATTAGGATTGAAAAGAAGAAGGAAAAGGTTTGGTGCCGATGATGGCTACGTAGGCTGCCTTTTATATTTTGAGATTTGAGAACAGAAACAAATACTATTCATTGAAAAGCGCTTTACTGCCTTTCAAAATTCTCCACATTAAGATCTATACACTTTTGCATGGGCTCGAACCGATTTTTGAAGCACTTTTGCCACTCTGATGTAAGTAATTCTAGAACATGGATTCTGAACGCATCAACGGCTTCTTCAGGTGCCAAAAAACGTTGACCTCTCATTTTATTTTTTACGTACGGGATGAGAAGAAGTCACCCGGGGACTACATGGCTGATGACCTGTCAAATCGTTGTTTCGAGTGCTCAAAAATGCAGTTGTTTGAGCCGATGTGTGGGAGCTCGCATCGTCGTGGTGATGAGTGAGCCGTCTTCAGCAGTTGGTTTTCCTGATTTTTTGGAAGTCAAATGGCAAACAAATGATGGTATACCACTCAGGATTGACTGTTCTGCTTGATCTAGTACGGTCGCGACATGTCCAGTTTTTCCAAAAAAAAAAAACAGATCAATTGCTCGAAAGTGCTTGGTGCGCGGACAACTTTTGTTG